TACGTTTTGCACCTGTGGAGCAGTTTGTGCTTTTAAGCTGAGCCTGTGTCATGTGGCACAAATTACAGCAGGCTGTTGTAGCTTATAATCAAATTGTGCTTCCATGTCTTCTTTGTGGATTTCAGTAGCATTCTATAGGCAGAATTGAGATTAAAGATATTTACTAGAACATTATTACAAACATAAATTAAATTTTAAGATGATTCCAGATGTGATAAAGTTTAAATACCTAAAGATCCCATCACAAATTTAAAGTTGTTTCTTAACATTTAATGGTCAGAATGGATAAGCACTGATGATATCAACAATCCCACTACTATTAGTCAAGTTTTAGTTTAGACATGTTTTTTGACAGATTTTCATATGAATATTACAAGATGAATTTTTAAGATTTCCACATGAAGTCCTGTGTTATTTATAGTCTTGACTCCAAAGTTCATCCTCAATAATCCAGGTAATAATCCAACAATGTTCAGTCAGGTCATCTGGACAGTGTTTGCTTTGTTTGTTTGTTCTTGCTGAGACGGTTCGTCCTTCATCCTAAGGACTTCTACAATCTGAGGAGCTACCAACAGTTCCTCAGACTGAGGAAGTCCTTTGGATGAAACGTTTCAGCAAACATAAAAAATAAAACAGAAACCGTCCAGACGACCTAACTGAACATTGTTGGACTATAGTCTTGGCTGTTGGGTGAACCCTGTTTGTGACTTTTGGACCTGCCTTGCTGAGTTCATGTGTCATCTAATGAACGTGTGTGTTGTCACCAGATGCTATGAAAATAATATTCTATAGGAATATTATTAAACAAACATTTATTCTTTGTTTTGTTAACTGCAACGTTTCTCAGGAGGTGCTACAGTGAGTGAACTCGCACCAAGACTTGGGATTTGTTTTTATGCCACGTTCTTCCTGACACAACCACAGACCACCGAGCTACCACAGCCCTCTGTGTGAAGCAGAGCTGCTATCTAGGGTGCCCGGGGGAGCAGAGGGTGGGGGTTAAGAGCCTTGTTCAAAGGGCTAGAGTGTGGCAGACAAGGGTGGAGGAAGGTGTGGGTGCTTCATCTTTTCCGCCCACATTTTGATGAAACACTCAGGGGACTGTGTGTTTAACCTCACGGCATGAAAACAACTTCATGGTGGACACGTTTAGTTTAGTGGGAGAAAAAATTACAAAATGTGCTTCTTGAATAGAAATGTTGTAGACCTGAGTAATACTAAAACATTTTATTCTAAAATGTACTGGGTTATTCTTTGTACAGCTTCATCGTCCCATACAGCCAGTTCATAAGACTGGTTGATCCACACGCAGCCTCTAGAACATTCCTTCTTGTTATTTGGCTGTCGTGTGTTTTCCAACACAAGTCGAAGAGTAAAGTGAGACCTGGTGATCGATGCACTGCACAGGATAATCAAAGGTAACGTGAAGGTGTGTCGGGTACAAAAACAGGAAGTGAACCAAAATGTCTTTTAGACAGGATCCATTTTATTAAAATCAAAGACAAGAGAAAACTGTTTGAGAGAATTGGATCTTTTTGTCCAGAGATTTTTGCAGTTTGAATACTTGAACTGTACGGTGAAAATAATACTGAAACATTTACTTCTTTACATTATTTACATTTTCACAGCTGCCTCATAAAATCTGAAACAAAGTGTCGTCCAGCATTTAGTCCAAATAGTTTCACTCTTCATTTTTCATCTAAACGTGAGGACTAAACTGGAACGAAAGTAGAGTCAAAGTGCTTGTAAAGATCCATCCGTGGTCACAACTGTCTGTAAAAAATTATCATTTTAATCTTAAATAAACCTTTACAGAGATAATGCAGGAAAATATTTAAAAAGCCACGCATGCTCCAGCTTTCAGCCGTCGTCTACTTCTGTGAAGATGTCGCTCAAGAAGTAATGTGACACACTGGTAGGCTCCTCTTCAACACAAGTGGCCTCTGTACAGTCATTTGTTGAAGCCTGGAACAAAAACAAATTATTCTTCATCATGTGTGCGTAACTCACCTTACTCAAGAAGTACTGTTTTCATCCTGATACAATTTCATCTTGTTGCCTTCTTGTCAAAAAGTTCCAGTGTCTGGGATTTTTGGTCAGCATTTATGGATGTTTTTAACTAATATGTCTGAGAATGCTAACTGCCCATGAACCATGTGTTTGAGTTAGCAGAGAGTTCTTTTCTCTCGCAGAGAGAGCTGAAAGAGGAGCTGATTGGATCCTGCATGTTCAGCTGTGTGGCCAAGGTCATCAGTGCCTGCCTCTGAGCCGAGAGCTGATGAGGTTATAAAAACAATTCTCACACACTGCCCGCTGCAGATCCTCCTGACTGGGTGACTGGTACGTCTGCGACCTGTTGTGAAAGTCTGTCCTTGCAAGTAAAATCCGTTAAAAATCTTTTTTTTGTCCTCGAGTGTGGCTTCTTTAAGTAAGTAAGATGAATAGAAGATATTTTTATCCAACCCCAGAGCAACGACTATATTTTGCTTTCAAAGATCACTGGAGTGAAACTACAGCAGTTTTTAAAGTATGATTTAATTAAGGGAAGAAGTCAAGCCAACTACGCCAATTCCACCCTTTAATTAGTGAATTAACCTAATTATCCACATTTCTTTTTAAATTGCGTTCTATTTAATTGGCTGCGTCAAGTCATTATTGCTGCCAATCAATAAATCACGTTAACAAAACCTGCCTGACAAGATACAGTTGGCTAAAAGCAACTCATCATGTCGATTCAAAACATTTTCCACAACAGACGAGTAACAAAGTCATTGACACCTGTCAGTCTGGAAAGAATTACAGAGAGACGTCTAAGGCTTTGGGACCAGTACACCACACTGGGAGATACTGATGAAGGGAGAAAACATGGAACAAAGGTGACGCTTCCTGACAAACTGATTTCAAGAAGGCATCGACGACTCATCCAGAAGGCCCCAACAGAACTCAGAACATCTGCAGGACTAGTCCTGTCACGAAAACAACATTTTGATGGGCGATTAATTGTCTCAGAAATTATTGCGATAAAGGATAATATTGTTTGAAATTTAACAATAAATAGTAATTGTCAAATTTTAGAAGAAATGTTGATTTGTTTTGAGTGTAGTACCTCTTTTTGACCACCAGATGGCAGTATAAGACTGAACCAAAAGATGGACAGATGAGCAGAGTGTCTAAGAAAAATGGGAGGGCCCTTGACGTGACATGGCGGATGCTTGGTGTGGTTTGAGCTCTTTAGCATATCATTTGTCACACAAAGCTTTTAATTAAAAAAAAAAAAAAATCAGTAAACAAGTTCTCAACTTCTTTTTGCAGAGAAAAACAACTTTTTACACAAAGGCAATGTGAATTTTGGAGCTCAACAAGACGGAGGTTTTTCCCCAAGGTCTGCTTGTTAGCTTAGCTCGTAGCTTAGCTTCTCAGCTTAGCTGCTTTTAATGATCCAAAAACGCAATTTTGGAGGGTTAAAACAGATTTTAAAGAGAAAAGAGAAAAGGAGGGGTCAGTGAAGAGCACCGGAGTTGAACTTTTTGTCATCCAGTGTCTTCAGAAGAAAGAGAGAGATGAAGAAACGATAAAGCCAATAAATGAAAATGAGATTGATAATATTCATTTATCATGTGATTAATTGATTCATTGTTTATCACGACGTGCCTATGCAGGACTTGTCAGTTAAGGTCAGAGTTCCTAATTCAACAATAGAAAAGAAACAAAAGGCAAAAAGAGCAAGGTCCAAGTCCAAAGTCACAGCTGAGCAAAAAACACAAAGACCGTCTTACAGTTGCCCAAAAAAACGTCTTAAAGATTCCCGAGTGTTTTGAGTACTGATGAGACAAAAGTTTAACTTTTTGGAAGATGTGTGTCCGATTACATCTGGTGTAAACTAACATCTTAAAGGAAAGTTATATCAACAGTCAAACATGGTGGTGGTAGTGTGATGGTCTGGGAATGGGAAGAGTGTCCAGCTGTCAATTTGAGACCTGAAGCTCGCATGGGTTCTGCAGCAGGACTACGGTCAGCCATGTCAAAGAATCATCACGAGTTATGACAAACAGATCACAGTGTTTGCTTCCAAGGGTGGCACAACTACTTCTAAAGTTTACGAGGCAATTACTTTTTGACACAGAGCCAGGTTAGTTTGGACAGATTTTCCCACAATGAAGAGGGGAAAAAAAAAATTATTTGAAACTGTGTTTTGTATTTACTCAGGTTATGTTTGTCTAACATTTGTTTGCTGGCCAGCAATAGTTAAATGTGGAAAACAAGAATGCAATAAATAAATAAATATTAAAGGGAAGAATAGTTCTTCACGGTGCTGCTGTACCTCCAGAAGTGATGCACAGATTTTTATAAAACTCATTAAATCATCACCGGATGTGAACCTACAACTGTCTAACTTTTGGAGTCAACCTGATTCAAGATGGCTGCCACAGCTAACTGACCTTAGCTAACAAATATGTGAATATAATTCAGTTAATAGATCCTGAGATAATGAGTTGAGTCTCATTCACAACACGTACTCCAACACGTCTGTGATGTTACCTTTTATATTTTTATCCGTCTTACAGTAAAAGCTTTCGTTTTATTTTCTTTGCTGCTCTAAGCACTGGAGGAAATTTGTGCTCCAAGATAACTGGAGCTCAGCAGATCGAGTCTCCTTAGAAGAATCAGGTGGCTGAACTGGTTTATCTTGTTTTAATTGTTTCAGATTGTTGAAAATGTGCAATAAAAGTAAATGTGGACAAACAAATTGTCCATCTTTAATAAACTCGTCTGACTCTTACCTCAGCTGTACGGAGATGAGAACTGGGAGTGGAATGTGAGCAGCTGAGCCGGCGGTCCCCAGTCTGGGCGATGTCCACATCTGGAGGTGTTACAGATGTTAAGCAGGCTTCTGTTGATGGCTGTGAAGACCTCGGCGTGGGAACGTCTTTAGATGTGGAGGCTGTCAGCTCTGACGAAGATATTTTTGCTTCTGCAGTGACAGTTCTCGTTTTTTTACTCGTCGCTTTTCTAGATGGAGGTTTGATTGTGGAAGGAGAAAAAGAGGAACAACCTTCGGCTTTTCTGTCACAAAGAGAATTTAAAAAACACGTACATTATATGTGGACTCACGTCTAACGTACAAACTGGATAAATTATTCATATTGTTCTGTTTTGTTTCTTACTTGCTCTGACGCCTGCTCCTGGAGCTTTGTGTGGTTTGTGAGGTCACTCTCTTGTCAGCTTCTCTCCCTCCAGTCAAAGTTTTATCTGCGGCTGCATGACCCCCACCTCCTTCATGTGGCTCAGTCATGATGTTTCCTGAGGACTGCGGCTGCTCAGAACACTCAGGATGGTCTGATTCAGGAACAGCTGCTTCCGTCTCAGTGGCAGCAGAGCTGATTTGTTTCTTGCTTGAAGCTTTGGATTTAACAAGTTGTTTACCTTATTCAAAGAAAGACAGGGTCTAAAAGATGTTCCCAGTTTGCAGAGAGTTCATGTGGATACATTCATATTTTGCATACCTTTCCTTACAGAGACTTTTTGTGTCTGTGTTGAGGGGGGAGTCTCAGTCTTGTTACTTTCCATTGTTTCTGACACCTCTGGAGGCTGGACTGCAGCATTT